TTTGATGTATGTACTATTTTTTAAGCAGCCTTTTATATCATACCATATCCTTTAAGTTATGTTATGATTGCGTAATTAAAGTGTAAATTCTTCGGAAAATTAGCTTAATTGTTAGGATATAATTTTACAATGCAATATAGTGCAATAGTTGTTTGATAAACAATCTGATTAATTAGTAACTTAACCACAATGAAAGTTACATTTGGTTTAATAAAGAATTTGGTTACTAAATAATGTTATTGTTTTATCAGTACATTTATATTTTGCGTATGCCTTGTAATTTGTATTAAAGTGTGCTTTAGTGCAGTTTTATAACATTATCATTAATTACTGTTAAGTGTATACAGGTAATTTTACAAACTCATTATAAATCCAGAAACAATAATATAATTATATATTACCTAAAATACTAATAAAAAGTGCACATATTTTAATCATCTTAACTGTATTTTTGACACAAACTATAAATTATTTAAATTAATAAAAACACATTTAATTGTGAAACAAATTGTCCTCGCATCTATTAATTTTAACTACTATTTAAATGCTACTTTATTCTTCTTTATGTCACTTTTGGGAACAGTTGTTCTCCTCTTCGGTGTCATTAAATTTTGAATAATCTTAACTTAAGATATAATTAATTAAATATAATATTATAAATAATAATTTGTCCCAGGGTTTTAATTTTATTACAACCCATAAGCAACAGAAAAGTTCTGAGCTTAATAATTATTAATAAATAGTATATTAGTATTACATAATTTAGCGCAATTAGTAAATGTATATAAAATATAATTTTCTCTCAAACCTTGATAATTAATCCGTGTGTTAGTTTGATATATGATCTTAATGATTAATTAGTAACTTAAACAAGATGTAAGATACAATGAACTTAATAATCTATATACTTATATAAATAATAAACTTATATTCTGCAATTACATAGTCAATTTGAATAGTTCTCATTATATGGTTGATTGGAGCTAAATCAATTATGTAATTAATTTAGTCTATAAAAAATAAATAAAATTCATTTTGTAATATTACATAGAAGTGACAATTATTCTTTTAAATTAGTAAATGTAATTTATTAAAATTTAATTAAATGCAAATACAAGACATAAATAGATATTAAAGTTTTATTTATAATTATTTATTTGACATTTATTTTTTATTTTAAATATTAATATTAAACATTTTGGTGTATATACACAACAATTTAAATATTAGAAATTAAAACGTGATTATTATAGATCTAAAAGTTTTAAATAAAATAACATCACAAACGAAATGATCTGTAAATGTAAACAATTATTTGAAGTGTTATTTTCAATTTATTAAACTTATACCTCATATCCACTAAACATGTTTATAATAAATAATTTCCAACAATAAAAGCCCACTCTTTTAGTGCCAATTCTTTCAATTATATTCATTAACTAATTATAAAATTAATTAATTATTTAATTATAAATTAATACAATTATTAATTTACCTTTAATTTTAATAAAACAATTCCTTGTCTGACATATAATTCACAAAATAATGAATTTAACAAATTGTATGACTTATTTGCCTCCATATAAATCAATGTAGAATTACGTATAATACAGAATAATATAACCGAAAATAATAAACAAAATGTGAATATGGTCATTTTGTTCATGATATTACTCTGATTGAAAAATACCAAATAAATTGTTATGGATATCAATGCACTCACTGTTAGCCATATAATGCATATATATTTTGACCAAAATATTTCATTGCATTCATTAATTTCTAAATATATTTCATTCAAATGTTTAATAATTTTTACATTTTTAATATATAATAACCGTTTTGTTTGACTGATATGTTGTATGTTTTTAAGCACATCTTTCAACTCCTTATTTACAGCTTTTAATTTAAGTTTCAAATAATAGGTTAACAAATAGTAATAGACAAATAGCCAGACAAGTATCTGGTTACTAATCTGGGTGTAAATAATTGACAGTAATAAATGGGGCATGCCAATTAATATGATGTTTAACCAGGTTAGTTTTGGAAACATGATAAACAATGGCAAACAAACTCCTTGAATGGTTATTATTTTACAGCATTTATTGGCGATTCCTATATATTTCTGAAACACGTGTTGCAAATGACATATAATTTCCCAATCATTCAAACCAATACTATTTGGTGGCAATAAACCGGACATCACTTGAAATACACGCAAATCATTAGTCTTTACACTATTCATATAGTTTGCAAAAAATATCAATTGAATACTTATAACCTGGATCATATATATTATGATACCAATATTACTATGCACTCTAAGGCCAATAAAATAACCATAATCTCCGGTAATTGCATAAAACAATTCATTTTGTTCAGACATTGAAATTGATATAACAGAGCGAATGAGTTGTTGTAATAAAACAATGAAAACAACAATTGGTTTGAAATATGGTTTTCTATCCACAGATCGGGTCTTAAACATCGAAACTCCGATTCGGTATAAATGATGATCACATCCACTGATCACCAGCTCTTCGGGTAATTTCTCAGTTGATTCAAACATTTTATTGTATGCTTTATAAACATTTAACACTTAAGATTTTAAGATATAAATAATTTAATTTATTCTGTTGTTAGAATTAAACTGCATTTAATAACTTATTAATAATAAAATAATTCAGATAACTAAATTAATATTTATACCATAAAATTACAAAATTAACAGACAGTAACTGTTTTGCAAAATATTTTATTAATTTTTTAGACGTATTATAGACTTTATATTAATAAAATTATGTAGTTGTTTATATTAAACTTATTTTATTATCAAAATTAGAAAATTTTATTACTTTCTTTGTATCAATTAACATGTTTTTGTTAATTAATAAATATTTTTATTTTTATAATGTGATACTTAGTTTTAATTACGGACAAAACAATTAAGACAATGATTGCAAAATCTTATGTTACCGTAAAGTTTACATAATTTTACGTATATTAAAAATTAAATAGTTAAGAAAAGTTGAACCTATTTTTAATATTTGCAATGAAACATTATTTGCGAGTGTTTACGGTAATATACGGTAATAATATTAATATCTCATTAACATTTAATAAAAATAATATAATTATAATTATTACTTATAATTAGGGTGACCAGAACGTCCTTTTTTATGGGTTTTGTCCTTTTTTCGACCTCTCAGGACAGCGTCCTTTCGAGTGGTCGGAAAGGACTATACTTTGTCCTTTTTTTAATTTGATTAAATTCAATATAAAAAGGTTAATTTGTTTTAAAATATGGGAAATCTCATTGAATTCTATGCACTGTAGCGCTACAAAGCCGTAAAGTTATGACATTACAGCACACAAACAGTAAATAAGAACAATAGAGTAGAAATCTATAATAAAAATGTTGTATTTGTTAACAGAAAACTATTATAAAAAGTAAAGAATGTATTTGTAATCCCTTTGGCCTAAACGATGTCATTTATTTTGTTTGTTAAAAGTGTTTTCATTTGAATACTCATTTAAAATGTGTAACAAAACAACGGAATAAAGCAAAGGGGTAATAATTTTTTGCGTCCTTTTTATGTCCTTTTTTTAATGACTATTTTTGATCAGTCGTCCTTTTTTAAGAGGATTTTTGGTGGTCACCCTACTTATAATGCAAATTATTATAAAGGCAAATGATTTTATTATTACAAATAATTAGTTATTATTTATTGTATAACACGTCTACACACAGTATATGATAGTCAGTCTAGTTTACTAATTAGCAAATTGCTTAAAATAGTTTTAATTGACGCCTTCATTATAAGTCGCTAATGCACTCAAACAACAACAAAATTATTATGAAATTTTTACTATTCAAAGTTAAAAATAACATGGTAGTTTTGTTTTAATAAATGAACCATATCTTACAATTATTGCATTAATAGCACAGCTTTTAAAATAGATATTACGATATAAATTAATAAAGGTAGCTTAATCACTCTCACAAACAGGTAAGCCCATATAAACACTCGTTTAACATATGTCCAGATAAACCTGGTCAACTATCTAGCTCATTTAATATAAACAGTTATGTCTTTTAATGCAAATGAAGAAAAAATTAAAAGCTTGTTTATATTTTTTTAATAGATTGTAATGAAAAAATCCACCACAATAAATTTGCTATTATATAAGTATTTGCTTATTCCAATCCGGCCTAATATTTAAATTCCTAATAATGATAATTATATTAATTTCTCGAAACTTTTATTAATTAAGCATTCCCATACGTTAACACTAACTCTAAAATTATAATTAAAATTGTATAACAGATTTGCGTTAACTCTCAAACCTATAACTTGTTCTACAGATCCTAAAAATGAATTGTTTTCTAATTTAATTGTATTTTATGTGATTGTTTGTTAAAATAATAAATATTTGTTGCTAACAAAGTCAGCCAGAATACCACAGACACCACAAGTTCAATTATAAAATAAAAATGTTATTTTTTATTACAAGTCAGCATGATAATTGTGGTTTAGCTGAATTAACATAGTAAGATAATAAGTTAAAATCAAATTATACTCATTAAATTAAACTGTGTTTTTACAGTTCAGGGTTAAACGGATCAATAAACAGTATTTAGCAAATCATGTCTTAATTCATGTACATTACACACAAAATATTAATATTATTATTTTAAATCCGTTATAAAGTATATTTATATGTTGTAAGTTTGTGTTTAAATAAGTTATATACTTTAGTTGTTTAAGTAAGATAGTTATACTTTTACTTATCTTCAAATTATTATACAAATACTAAAAATTTGTTAAAATACTAACAATTTTTTAAAACTTACAATTTGTTAATTAATTTATAACACTAAATAAATATCACAATATACAGTACATGACTGTATTTAATATTTAATTTATTTAATACAAACTGTTATGATTTCTTTGCTATAAATATTGTTAATAGTTATGTTTAATAATACAAACACAATGGCAAATGTCAAACACATGGTTCACACCATTATATTCATAACGTATATTTGGCTCTACTATTGGATCACCGATGCTCTCACACCCAACCCATTGTCGCACTCGTTGACCAACCCATTGGTTAAATGTGTTGTTGTATTCATGCAAATCCTGTCCGTAATAGCGTTACCGCAATATATTTTTCAATTTCTGGGTCTAATTGTGTACAACCCGTTCAGCGACGATGTCGTACCCCTTAAGTCTGACCCCCTGTCCGCCCCTTTCATATGCTTCCGAGTGGTCACACGTGGAATGTACAGGCGTTTAGTCGCCGATAATGTCAAAAAGCATGTGAATGTCTGCTCAACCGTTGGTCTCAAGCATTTTATGATAGAAGTGGTAACCGATAACCCATTAGATTTGGACACAACTGACCCGAGAGTGCGTGAAATTGTTGTGCCCGTTGGGTATCGGCCTAAAAATGGGACCATGTTTAAAGTAATTCATGATAGCAAATAATTAAATTATTAAACATTTATTAACCCATAATCTCTGTAAGGCTCGGGCTCTACAGTACCGGTTGGACACCAATGATATGGCGGACGACGAGTGGATCGTACACTTGGATGAGGAGACAGTGATGACAGAGCAGTCCGTTAGGGGTGTCGTTAACTTTGTGTCCGACGGCCGACACGACTTCGGTCAGGGGCTCATCACTTACGCCGACCAACAGGTGGTCAACCCTTGGACTACACTTCTGGACACTCAGAGAGTGGCCGACGATATGGGAAAACTTCGCTTTCAGTTCAAGTACTTCAATGACGCGCCGTTCAGTTGGAAGGGTATGTCTATTCATAATCGCAAATTACTTATATCTAAAAAATGAACCAGGTTCATTCATGGTGTGTCGTGTAAAAGCTGAACTGCTGGTATCCTTTGACCACGGATTGGAGGGCTCGATAGCCGAAGACATGTATTTCTCAATGAGAGCACTGATGGGTCGGCACACGTT